TATATATATATATATATATATATATATATATATATATATATATATATATATATATATAAACTCTTAAAAGACTAAAAGAAAAAAAACTTGCGGTGAGATTTTGAAATAGTTTGCACAGGAAATCCTGTCAGGGTTAGATGAGCAGGTGAAGCTATAAGTTGGAGGTTTTCAGAAGATTTAACTGAAACAAAGTGGCAAAATGTGGACTTTTTATAGCACAGTAAATGTTACAGAGTAACGATAAGTGATCTATAATTATGACGGACATTCTTCTCACAATATACATTATTTTCTACATTCTAGTGATTTTTAGAGAATTGAAGAAAAGCAGAATGGGCCCTACTAAAATATTTGCATCTTAAATATACTTTAAACTAAGAATTTCACAACTTTGTTCATTAACTATTCTCTGCAGTCCAAGAAAATTAAAAAAATTAATAAACTATTACTGGATTACTGGCACTGATGCAGGAACCAGAGCAATGGAAACCTATGCAAACTACACTGTGTGTATGAATATTTGGTAATAGGCTAAGAATTAAAAAGCTCAATTCATTATGTTATTTGTTTTTCTTACACTTGAAAAACAGCTAAACAATTCAGACCTTCTAGGAGGCTGTAGATTTTATTTAAATAACTCACCATGACAGGAGACGGCACTTCTCTGGATGTTTCATCTGGAAGGTATGATGGAAATAAAGTTTTTAAACATATTCAATGGACCAAAATTAAGGTAAATGAATAAGATGATAAGTAATAAAATGAGAACATCCCTGTGGTTTCTCCTCTATGAATCCAGGATAACTGAGCTGTTCCTCTCTGGATGTGGTTGGTCTTTTCTTGGGTGGCTGATCTTTTGAAAAATAAAATGCAATGGTTCTTTTGCTTTTTGTGGATCTCCTATGGGTTTGAGAGGGCAAAACCTAGAGGCTTTAAGAAATAAAATATTTATGTTGGTTTAATTACTCCTAAATGCCAACGGGAGATTATTAAACTAGACTGGGCAATAATTATTTAACTTGGGACTAAAACATGGTCCTTGTGTGTTAGCGCTAATGTTGTATTAAAAACGCGGACTGGATTTGATCATCACGGTATTTTTATACATAAGTAGGTTGAACGGAGTTGAGTTTTAATGTCTGTCATTTTTAAGCGTGAGAAATTGGGAATCTGGTGTGAGAGCGTGTGAAGACACTGAGATGGGTGAGTCTCACTCCCAGAGTTGACAGCCCTGTACATTGGATAACAATAATTAAAGTTTAAATACAGAGCAGGTAGAATCAGTAGTATTAAGCTAATTTCAAATGTTGGTTCGTTTAGGTTGTGGAGTTAAATATAGGCTCTTTTTTAATACTAAATTATTTAATGATTGATTGAAATGTGAATGCTGATTGCCAATTAAATTTATGGTGATAAAATGCTGCTGAGTCCTAACTGTGCACTGAATGTAGTTTTTTTTTTTCATGTATACTGAACAAAAAAAAAAAAAAAGATATTATGTGATGTTTAAAACCATTTGTTTTTATCTATACCAGTGTGGTCATCTACTGCAGCCATCAATGTAGAGATCCCTAAAGCAGCATATGAGTTTGCCCGAGGAGACAACGTCACACTTCCTTGCACATTTCAAAGTGCTCTACCCAAAATAGACCTGGCCGTAATTTCTTGGTCTGCTGACGGTCCAAAAACTAATGCAGATGTTAGTATCTTCATGCCTTTTTTTTTTCAGCTAAATGAACAGACATGTTTCTCTAATGCTCTTATTCTCAACAGAACGTGATACTTACCCACTATCATCCCCAAGGAATCACAGACATCAAGAAAAAATATGATGGACGGGTGGCTGTAGATGTTAAAGTTAATGGCGCTTCTGTTAAAGCTGACCTTAAGCTTTCCTCCATCACACTAGACGACAACAAGGAATTTGAATGTGAAGTTCAGATCCCCTCAGATGATGAGGGAAAATTGATTGATGCAACACGTTTGATTGTTCTAGGTAATGGTTAACTGTGGTTTTTTTGGGTCATTGTTAACCAAACACAAAGTTTACATTTTTATCTAAAATGTTGTGTGTGTGTGTGTGTGTCTGTCTGTGTGTGTGAGTGTATATATAATGCTTTATTAATCCCCAAACAGAAATTAAATAAGGCAAGCTAGCAGATTTAAAGCAGAGTTAGCAGCACAATTCAAGAATGTATTTAAATCACACTTAAAAATAATAAAATCACAAAATCCTCCTTATTTCTTCCTTCTTTTTTCCAAGTGGCTCCATCTCCTCCCATCTGCAAGATAGAAGGTAAAGCAGAATACGGCCAAAACATCAACATCACCTGTAAGTCTGAGGAAGGGTCTCCTGCTCCCACTTACAAGTGGCAGAGTCGTGATGTGAGGAACGCGCTTCGTGCTCCATGGCCAAGAACCACTGACAGTAAGTGTGATATTTATTTCTCACTAATAAGCATTACCTTTTAAATGTTTGCAAAACAAAGAGGAAGCTCATGTTAGAAAGAACTTTACATTCTGCCCAAATTGGTTTATTGTTTAACTTGCGGGAAATGTTTTCTTTCTTGTGAAATTATCACTCCTAATCGATGAATCAGAGCCCAACAGGTTGAAGATGCTCTTTGGTTACTGTTTATATTGCAATGTGCTGACCACCTTATTGCAATTTTTTTTTGTGGTAAACCTGCCTCTACAATTCAAGTTCTTAAGTGAAAACATACTCATGTCTTGGTGTATTGTGTGATTTTTTAATGTTACATCGACTGCAAATATACAGTAGCCAGTGGGGTGGCCAGGGCATGGCACAGGGTGGCCACCCTTTGCCACCCCCTGGTGGTGCCACTGGGTCTTGGAAGTCCCGGCTCTATCCCCAAAATGATTTTTACCAATCCCTGGATCTTTTTTTTTCATTCAGGAAATAAGAAATTAACTGAGCCGCCCTTCGATGTTAAATTATATGAAGTTTTGTAATTTCCTAGCTCCATTAAATACAACACAAAGACATTGCTCTGACCAATCCAAGAAGATCCAAGAATAGTTTGTACGGAAGCAGGCATGTTTTATTGGCTATAAGCACTGATATATTTTAATGTTGTCACAGAAGAAAATTCAAATAAAAAAAAAAAAAGAAAGAAGATAATTATTCTCTGGTGGGTGAATGAGGAGAAAGGGCCACCATCGAACTGATAAAGAAGTTATTTAAATCTGGGATGTTTTCAAAATTATGTGAATAATGCAGCGCATTCATAATGAAATGATGATTTCAAGCTTGAAATGGACAAAACTTAACTTGTAGAAGTAGAAAACAGCTGTTTCCCACATCAAAGCCTTTGGTTGGGGTTGAAAGTATGGTCTGGTACTGTGTTCCTGTAAAGTTGGGTGGCATCCAGTACCAGGAAGACCCGCTGCCTGTTGTTTTGATACGCCTCCTTCAGCGTTACCTGATCACAGTGAGATGGTTGCAATGTGTTTAAACCTCGCATATGCTTTTCAAAAAGTGTGTGGTGCGTGTTAAACTTTGAGAAACCGCTCTGTGATCTGTCTTTGCACTCTTATCTTTGTCTGCCTCATGCTCTGCTCAGGAGCTCGTTGCTCCCTCATCATCTTCTCTGTTCTCTGCTGTCTCTGAACTCACTACTTAATGTGGCTGTAAAACAGCTCTTGCTGCACATTTTGTCTAAATTTGAGGAATTTATTTCTTCCACCTCATGAGAGTTGGTTTAAAACTTTATACAATTCCTACCAAGGAAATACCTATATTATTTCCAAAATAAATATTTATTAATCTACTGTGAGTCATTTTATAAAGACCAAGAGGAAAAGGCAAAAAAACCATCTTTGAATGTTTGTCTATAATTTATCATTTTCTATCCCTTTAATTAGGATGTTGGTTTCTTGTATTGTCTTGAAAATTTAGAATTTGTTTTTTTAGATTGAGGTCAGGATTGTCATGGCAATTTTTCATATTATTAAAAAAATATAGGTGGATTTAAAGACTGAAACAGATTTAACTATGAAACTCTAGTTTTGGTTAATCAAGATTTAAGATCACTCTTCTTTTCTGCATATTTTTTAAAGATAGTCCTCTTTAGGTGTGGCATCAGCTTCAGTATAGCTAAAAGGGAAAACAATCTGTATTAGTCAGCCCTGAATATTTATTTATCATTTACTCTTTTTCTCACATAATCACAATGGAGAATCTAGAGGCTGGAAATCAAAATTAAAGTATAACTTCTTATTTGTTGGTTATAAGGGTCTTTATTTTTTAAGTTGTATGCAGGATGTAAGGAAACAATACTTGCCATTAACTTTTTTCATATAGTACTAGCAAGAAATTAAAATGGTTTCCTTTCAAGATTCACAACTTCTTTCTTAAGATTTTTCCCCATCTGTTGANGGGATTCTGGGCTTCAGGGCAGAGTGGCAAAGAAAAAGCCATATCTGAGACTGGCCAATAAAAGAAAAAGATTAAGTTGGGCAAAAGAACACAGATGTTGGACAGAGGAAGACTGGAAAAAAGTGTTGTGGACTGATGAATCCAACTGAAAAGATGCTGGAAGCATCTGTTAAGCATGGTGGATGTAATGTGATGGTCTGGGGTTGCTTTGGTGTTGGTAAGGTGGGAGATCTGTACAGGGTAAAAGGGATTCTGAATAAGGAAGGCTATCACTTCATTTTGCAACGCCATGCCATACCCAGCGGACAGTGCTTGATTGGAGCCAATTTCATCCTACAACAGGGCAATGACCCTAAACACACCTCCAAATTGTGCAAGAACTATTTAGAGCAGAAGCAGGCAGGTATTTTATCGGTTATGTAGTAGCCAGCGCAGTGACCAGATCTGAATCCCATTGAGCTGTTGTGGGAGCAGCTTGATCGTATGGTACGCAAAAAGTGCCCATCCAACTTGTGGGAGCTGCTTCTGGAAGCGTGGGGTGCAATTTCTCCAGATTACCTCAACAAATTAACAGC